GTTTCTCAAAACTCTTATATTTTGCATATTTTAACATGTACGATCGTAAAACCATCGAATTTGTGATTTTCAATAAGTTTCTCAAAACTCCTATATTTTGCATATTTTAACATGTACGATCGTAAAACCACCGAATTTGTGATTTTCAACAAGTTTCTCAAAACTCTAGTATGTTGCACATTTTAACATGTACGATCGTAAAACCATGGAATATGTGACTTTAAGCAAGTTTCTCATAACTCTTATATTTTGCATATTTTAACATGTACGATCGTAAAACCATCGAATTTGTGATTTTCAGTAGGTTTCTCAAAACTCTTATATTTTGCATATTTTAACATGTGCGATCGTAAAACCATCAAATTTGTGATTTTCAATAAGTTTCTCAAAACTATTATATTTTGCATATTTTAACATGTACGATCGTAAAACCATCGAATTTCCGATTTTCAGTAAGTTTCTCAAAACTCTTATATTTTACACATTTTAACATGTACGATCGTAAAACCACCGAATTTGTGATTTTCAACAAGTTTCTCAAAACTATTATATTTTGCATATTTTAACATGTGCGATCGTAAAACCATCGAATTTGTGATTTTCAGTAAGATTCTCAAAACTCTTATATTTTGCATATTTTAACATGTACGATCGTGAAACCATCGAATTTGTGATTTTCAATAAGTTTCTCAAAACTCTTATATTTTGCATATTTTAACATGTGCGATCGTAAAACCATCGAATTTGTGATTTTCAATAAGTTTCTCAAAACTCTTATATTTTTGCATATTTTAACATGTGCGATCGTAAAACCATCGAATTTGTGATTTTCAGTAAATTTCAAAAACTGAAATTTTACACATTTTAACATGTACGATCGTAAAACCATCGAATTTGTGATTTTCAGTAAGTTCCTAAAAACTCTAATATTTTGCGTATTTTAACATGTGCGATCGAATTTGCGATTTTCAGTAAGTTTCTCAAAAGTCTTATATTTTGCATATTTTAACATGTGCGATCGTAAAACCATATCGAATTTGTGATTTTCAGTAAGTTTCTCAAAACTCTTATATTTTGCATATTTTAACATGTACGATCGTAAAACCATCGAATTTGTGATGTTGTGAATGCACCTTCAATAGGGTGTCATCAGGGTCAGGTCGACCGGCAGAAAATGGTGAGCGCGCATGTAAGAGAGGCGCAGTAGATAAACCGGTCGATTCCGACGAGCTTTTTTCGAACAACGTGTGCAGTTGAGGGAGATCTTGCAGAACCTCGTGGTAGCAGGGTCAGTTGAAAATAGGCAAGCGAAGTGTAGAGGCATACATATTTTATGTATGTGACTTAATTAAGTTGAAACAAACATCGGAGCTGGAAAATTATTTAAAATATTTTAAAGTTTTCAATTAAAATTAAATTATATTCATTATTTAATAAATAAATGGAAAAACTGCACTTAAGAAATGTTATAAATAAAATATACTCTTAAATAATGGAATTAAATAATTTATTATTAAATATTTTAAAAGTTGAAAATAAGCAATTGTAGTGTATAGGCATACATATTTTATGTATGTGACTTAACATTTTTGGCGCAGCCGGTAGGATCACATTTTTTTCAAAATGTGAACGGAAGTGAAAACAAAATTAGAAAAAATGTGTTCTTGATAATTGAACGATATTACTTTTTTTATATATAAAACCTTACGAATTTAAAAATTTGAACAAATTTTATAAAATATTGTATAATATTGAATAATATTGAAAATCACATTTTTACAAAGTGTGAACGGAAGTGAAAATAAGAAGGAAAAATGTGTTCTTAATAATGGTACGGTATTTTTTTTTGAAAATTTGAACGTTAAAACTTTTGTCACATTAAATAAAAGAAATGGTGGTTATAATTAATAAACTTAATTACATTGCAAATATAGAAAATTTTTGTAAAAAAAAAATAAATAAAACAAAAAATCGGAAGTGGATTATGTATATTAACAATTTTGTTAAAAAACATTGGAATTGGTTTTTTAAAAAAAAAAAAAAGAAAAACGAGAACAACCATACGTTCAACAGCAAAAGCGCAAAGATAAAACGTGGTTTTCACTTAGGCAAAGTCAAGTTTTTGTAAGAAAAGTTAAGAGAAGTAAAGTTTCTAAGAGAACTAATATTTTACTTTGGCCTTACTCTAGCAGACTAAAATAAAAAAAAAAGAGAGATATAAAGAAAAACAAGAGTGCAAAAACATTAAAGTGCAATTATCAAAATATAATAAAATAAAAAAAAAAAAAAGCTTTTGGACTTCAAAGCTCAACGGACGGCAGCAGCAGAAAATTAAACATTAATTTAATATTAATTTAATTTTATATTTAAAGACGCAAAAATCAAAGTGTAAATTGTGTTTACTTTAAATAAACTATAAACAGAATAAAGCTTTTAAAACAAAGTTTAATTTGGAATTTTGTTGGAAACTAACGCGCTTCACTGCAACAGAACCAAATACCAGCAACAACAACAGCAATTATCACCAAATCAACAACAGCCGCGTCGTCAAATAAGCAGAACCAACAACAACAACAGAGTGGCTATAAAAAGGAAACACTTTTAAATGGTACATTCTAAATAACATTGTAATATTATTAAATTATTGGTATAGTTAAAAAAAAAACGGAAAATTTCATCTTTTGTATAGAATACTTTAATTGTAGCACAGTATGTATGCTGGAAATCATTAATAATTGGTTAATTATATTAATTATATTTTTATATATTTTTTATAATTAGAATACATTTTCAATTTGTTTAGGAGAATTCGCTAAAAAGTAATTTTTTTCTTTCTCTCTGTGTTGTTTATACTGAGGAAAATTTTTTTTTTTAAAGTTTCGTGTTGTTAAATTTGAAACTTATGGATTTTGCATGAATTATGTTGGGAAAAATTCACATAATAAAGTAATAAATTCCTGACGGAAAAATTATTTTATTTACAACATTATTTTGTAACAACTTTTTCAATTAAAATTTCAATGTTCAAAGTATTTATTTAATCAGATATAGAATTTGATATTGGATTCTTTTTTCTCTCTCAATATATATAAGTTATATATTACATAGACGTGCTTACATATATTACATATTTATGCGTAGATATTTATATATATGTTAATAATAGTAAAAACTTGTTTTTATACAAAATTTTGAAGTATTAAAAGGAAATGAAGTTGCAATAGTTATAATATTAGAAAAAGAATCCTAATATATATGTCTATAAAATTTTTACTCTAGGTTTAGTTTCAGTGTATTTGAATCACATAATTGATTTGTTTAGTTCTTTCTAGTCGGCTATTATAATTTTTAATAAGTAATTTGAGATTTAAGAGGACATATAGGTTTAGATATAAAATACGCTATAAAAAAAAAAATTAGATTTAGAGTTTCTCATTGTTAGTTTTACACAACATTACTACGGTTTCATGTGTTTCCATATAGGAAATATTGAAATGGAAATAAATATTGTTAGGCACTAACATAGAAGGTTAAAAAGTGAAGTCATATATGATTCCAAAAGATATTAAAATAAAATTATTTTTTGTTATTTTTGAAATTACATGACAAATTCAATTAAACATCGCAAGCAAATTAATTTTTTTTTATAAAATTTATTATTGTGGATAGGCAAGCTGTATGGAGAATGGGGTGGAGCAGTTAAAGCAGGAGCTAACCTCAGTAAATAATTTTATAGGAAAGGTATTGGTAAAAGAGTGGGAGCAGTTACGGGGAATAAATAAAGATAAAGATTTTTTGCAATTGACTAGAGGTCGAATTTTTATGGGACCAGATAGAAAGAGTTGGTAGTATCAAGTTCGAGGAGAAGGATAAGATAAGACGCAAACTGCGTTGCTGGAGGGGGCACTAAAAGACGTGTTAAGTTTAACAGCAGTTTTGCAACAATGTATACCACGTAATCTGAGGTGGTATCAATGTCTATATTTGCTTACTTTGTTACACTGACTATTAGGCACATAAACCAATAATCAGGTAGTTAAGATGAAAGGCTTGCAGGCACATAAACCGCTAGCCAAGTAAGTAAATAATTTTTATTTTGTTTCTACAGTGGTTAAAAGGCACATCTACCAATAACCAATTTTTGATTGTGAAGTAAAGACGATTGTTTTCGCTTTCATCTTTATTATTAATATTGTTTCCTTATATAGTATAAAATTACTTACTAAGCATAATAATAATTACAATTATTGGTGACTAAAATAATAATTAAAATTTCACATATTGCTGCATAAGCATAAATACAATATGTGAAGTTATTGAACTTATAAACGTAAATATTTACAATATTTATTTGCTTCATAAGCGTGATTACCAGCGAGCTAAAATATGTTAGGTTTGTTAAACTTAACATTCTGCCCGGCTTGAATTACGTTATTCAAGAATGAATCTATGAGCAATGATTAATTTGATTTGCAATGCATTATGTGTTTTTTTTTTTTTAAAAATCAACAAAAAAAAATAAAAAAAATAATTACAACATTTTGTGGATATATAAATACACATATAATTTTTAAACATTAAATAGTTATACAATATTATAAACATAAAAATATAAAATTTAGAGTTTATAGCATCATGAGAATTTGAGAAGCTATGTAATTGTTTCAGGCTCCAAAGTAAATCTTGTTCGTGGCATCGCGTTTGGTGTGAGAGTTTGTGTTGGCTGATTGACTTCTGGATGCTTTACCTGCTTTATTTTCCATATCATCCATATGATGGCTCCAACGACAAGAATTAGGGTTATGGAATTAATTGCGTAATGGTGCATGCTGTCCGTCTGTAGTTTGTGTGGTAATTCAGCGAATTTTTCATCTTTCAGAGTATTGTGAAGTAGCTTTAACTGTTTAAGTTCATTGCTGAGATTCAATGAACTTCCTTTAAACTTTGACCATAATTCTGAGTTATTGATGACAGGTATCTCACTAAATGCAGTGTAAGATTCATACATGGTGTCGGTAAGCGTTTGATGTGTCTGAATTGTAGACGTTTGGTGTTTGACCAAGTATGGTCATCATTAAAGATGTGCCATCATATATCTTTCGACGCTTTGGCAACGCTTCACTAGGTTCATTCGTTCGTCTTGTTTGTGTGACAGTAGAATTTTGTTTTGTTGGATTTTGATTAATGCTGCCTTCAGTGGGTAGGGGGGCCAATGATCGTACTGATCGTTTAAAAATCCCATTGGCTGTTTTTATGTCAGCTACACGGACCAAACCATCTTCTCCTTCATACACCTGTTGCACCCTGCCAAGAGGCCATTTGTACATGGGTAGATTATCATCTTTAATAATGACTAAATCACCTTGGCATAGATTTGCCTTTTGTTGTTTCCATTTGTACCTTGATTGGAGTTCATTGAGATATTCCTTTGACCATCTTCTCCAGAATTCTTGTTTGAGTTCAGAAACTAAACGCCATCGTGATGATAAACTCATTCGGCTCTCCTTTTGATAAGGATCTACATTAGTGGTAGGTGGTTCGCCTATGAGAAAGTGTCCTGGTGTAAGCGCTGTTAGATCATTTGGATCGGATGACATTTTTGTTATTGGCCTTGAATTTAACATGGCTTCTATTTCAGTTATGACTGTTGTCAATTCTTCATAAGTCAATGAAGCGCTGAAAATTCCTTTAATCATTAAATGTTTAGCTGACTTGACGGCAGCTTCCCAGAGTCCTCCAAAATGAGGAGCTCTTGGTGGAATGAATTTGAAGTCAATTCCCTTGTTACTACTGGTCTTAATGATCTTTTCTTTACCATTTTCTGAATAAATGGTAAACTGGAGCTCTTGTAGTTGGTTTCTCGCCCCAACAAGGTTAGTCGCATTGTCACTATAAATTGTTTGGCATCTTCCTCTTCTGCTGATAAAACGTTGAATAGCGGCTATGAATGCCTCTGTTGTCAGGTCACTCACCACTTCTAGGTGAACAGCCTTAGTCGCGAAACAGCAAAATACTGCTAAATATGCCTTTGTTGGCCTTTTTCCTCTAATTTTATAATGAATCCATATCGGACCACAGTAATCAACTCCTGTGGTAAAAAATGGTTTAGTTAGAGTAACTCGATCAGTCGGTAAGTTGCCCATGAGTTGGTCCATCAGTTTTGGTTTTGCCTTTGAACAGATGACACAGCTGTGAACAATGTTTCGCGCCATAATCTTTCCTTTAATCGGCCAGAAGTTTTGTCTCATTATGCTTAGCAATAATTGTGGAGCACAATGGGAATTTTCTTCATGTTTCATTATGAACATCAATTTCACTATTGAGTGATTGTAAGGAATTACTGTTTAGCATCATATGGCAATGTTGATGCTTCAAGCCTTCCTCCAACACGAAGTACACCTTGTTCGTCAATGAACGGTGCTAAAGTATTTAGTTGACTCGAACTGTTGACTGCTTTACATTGTTTTAAATCAGAGATTTCCTTTGCAAATTCTGAGCCCTGAATAGTTTTAATTATGAAGACTAATGCATCTCGTAATTCCTTTGGAGAAAGTGTTCTTGTTGGTGATTGTGTGCGATGAAATACACGGCGAACATAAGCAATTGTTCTTTGAAGATATCTAAATGAGTTTCGATGATCAATTTGATTTATCATGTGATCAGAACCAGTCGTTTGAATGATAATGTTAACTGTATGTCCTTGTCGTCTTTCGATATCAGTTGAAATGTTAAATGCCTTTGGGTTTGGCTGTTGCCAAAATTCGTTACTTCCATGAAGAAAGAGTGGACCAAAAAACCATATATGTGAATAATTGAACATTTTAACCTTTATTCCTCTGGAAATGATGTCAGCAGGATTATCCTTTGACGCCACATGATGCCATTGATCAGCATGTGACATCTCTTGAATTTTGCTAATACGATTTGCTACGAATGTGTGCAATGAGGCAGATGAAGATATTATCCATGACAAAACAATTTTGGAATCAGACCAAAAGTAGGTTGGCACGTTTTGATACTTTAAATCTTGTTTAACTCTTTCTGCTAATTCGACTCCCAGCAATGCTGCGCAGAGTTCTAGTCGTGGAAGTGTCTGTTTCTTTAATGGTGCTATTCTAGATTTGGCGCACAATAGTCTCGATGTTATTATCTTATCATTATATATTGCTCGCACGTACATAGCTGCTCCATATGCCTTCTCTGATGCATCCGTAAACACGTGTAATTGAATCGAACAGGGAACCGTCGAATTAAAAATATGTCTGGGTACTTTCACAGTATTTAATGTTTGTAAGTCAGTTCTAAAACGCTTCCATTCTAGCTGAGCCTGAGGTAACAGTTCCGCATCCCAGGAATAGTTTTGTTGCCACAATTCCTGCATGAATATTTTAGCTGTTACAGTAATGGGGCCAAAAATTCCCAAAGGATCAAAAATTCGAGCTAAGTCCGATGCCACAATCCGCTTCGTGATAGGTTGCTCTGATGACATCTCTGCCTTACCGCAAAATTCGTCTGATTTCGGGAGCCAAATAATGCCTAATGTTTTTGTTGGCTTTATGGCTGAGTCATCTAAATCAAGGTTGATTTCTTGGTCTTCTATCGGAATGTTTTGTAGGAGTCGTGTATTATTTGAGCACCATTTTCTCAGCTTAAATCCTGATTTACTGAGCAGTTCCGTAAGTTGTTGTTGAGTGTCTAAGGCGGTAATGATGCTGTTAGTTCCGCTTAAACAGTCATCTACATAAAAATCATTAAGTAATGCAGGTGCTCCAAGCGGATAGTTGGTCATATTATGTTTCGCAAGGTGTTGAAGACATTTTGTTGCAAGATAAGGGGCTGACTTCGTTCCATACCTATAATTTTAATACTTTTTACATATGTTATTACTATATTCTCTGAAAACTTAAATTACTTTTTTTTATTTTATTTTATTGTATTTTTTATTTTTATTTTTATTCTTTAAATTAGCTTTAAGATACTGCAATAAAAAGGGTTGTCCCTTAATGCATTTAAATAAATAAATAAATAAATAAAAATAAATAAATATGTAACCGTTTTCAGTCGGTAATATTGTATATTATCATCAGCACTTTTTCTCCAGATTATCAGCTGCTGTGCTGTATCTTCATCATGTACTTGAATTTGCCGGTACATTTTCTCAATATCAGCCGTAAATACAAACCGGTGTATTCTAAAACGCAAGAGTATTGAAAAAAGATCACTTTGCACTGTTGGACCTTTGTGCAAAATATCGTTTAGTGCTAAACCGCTTGATGTTTTTGCTGATGCATCAAAGACAACTCTCAATTTGGTTGTAGTGCTGTCAGGTTTCAAGACACAATGATGAGGAATGAAATATTGTGCTCCTTTGACATCTTTCGGGCAAACTTTTTCCATGTGACCTAATGACTCATAGTCATCCATGAACTTTATGTACTCCTTGTATAAATTTGGGTCCCTTTGTAACTTCCTTTCCAGAGAACAAAATCGATTGAATGCTATCTCACGCGATCTACCAAGTGTTGTGGGATCATCGCGGAAGGGTAAGCGTACAATGAAACGACCATCGTGATTTGTCTTTACATAATTTGTTAAGTGATTTTCACACCATTTCTCAGATAAAGTCAAAACCCTTTCTGCAGTCTCAATGTTATCTAACTTCCAAAATCGTTCTATCATTTCTGACATTTCACCAACTTCTCCTGTAGTAATAGCGCATGTTGGTTTAATATCTGTTGTAGTTTTAGTCTTACCAACCACCAACCAACCTAGAACCGAATTTTGTAACAGTGGCGAATTCTTTCCTATTATCAATTGTTCTGGTTGAAGTAGAGTATGATAGAATTCAGCACCAATCAGCATGTCAATTCTTCCAGATCTGTTAAAGCTGGGGTCTGCTAATTCTACATTCTGTGGGATCTGCCAATCCGAGATATCTAGGTCTCGTGACGGTTGTGCTGATATTATTTGTGGCAATACAAATGCCTCAAGTCTCGTCCTGAAGCTTCCATTAGTAGCCTGCAGTTCAACATTTACGCGAGATTTTGAGTTCCCGAATTGACGGCCAATACCTTCGATCGATAGATTTGAATTTGTGGTAATTAAAGATAACTTGTTGATTACTCTTTGGGTTACTAGGTTCACTTGAGAACCTGAGTCGAGTATGGCACGAACATCACACGTTCGTCCATTGTTTGCAATAATGCGCACCTTTGCAGTGGCTAGCAGAACGTAATTACGAGTACCCTTTGCATTAGTTATTGCTGTTATGGATGGCGATTCATTAGCGTTGATCAATGTTGTGGTTGACTTTGTGTTTGCTGCTGGTGCCCTTGAAGGTTTAGGTGACTGTTGCTCTAACTGAAGCAAAGTGTTATGCTTCTTGGCACATTTTTTACATGATCCAGCTTCACAAACCTTTGCTTTATGATCGGATTTGAAACAATTCACACATAGTTTTTGTCGTTGAATCCAATTTAATCGTTCAGGAGGAGTCATTTCAATGAATTTTTTGCAATAGTACATCGGATGTTTATCTGTATTACTAACTTTACATAGATCTGAACAAACCATAGTTACGGCTATATTTTGTTGGGTTTATATACTGCATTTTCTCGTAGACCTATAGCCTCAAGTGACTGAAATTTCAATTCTAAAAATTCTAAGAATTGTTTTATTGTGGGCATCTCCCTTGGGTTAGTAAGAGTTTGTTCAAAACTGCAATGTGTATTTTTATCCAACTTTTTTAGTAGTATGTGAACTAAAATTGGATCCCAAGTTGATGTTTCAATATTTAAATTATGAAGTTCACATAGACTTTCCTTTGTTGTGTCATGCATATTTTTAATGGCTTGGACTGTTGGATGGTCATATAAAGAGTTTTGAGCTGTCAAACGTTGCAAAACTGCTGATACTAGAACTCTTTTATTTTCATATCTACTTTGTAGTAATTGCCATGCCGTCTCATAATTTGCATCTGATATTTGCAAATGCTTGATGAGTGCTTCAGCTTCGCCTTGAATATTGGTTTTCAAATACCAGAGTTTCTGTGAGTCTGATATTCTTTGATTGTGTATCAGTTGTGCAAACAGATCACTGAATTGTCGCCAACTCAAATAATCTCCACTGAACTTTGGAAGAGATATTGTTGGCAAAGTAGCCGATGGTTGATAAGTTGACCTAATTGATGTCTCAATCTTGGTCGACTTACTAGTCCATTCCACCATTGTATCTTGCACCAACTGTTCCAGTGCTAGATAATGATTGCAATCAGGAGGGTTGTCTTGCCGTTCCTGAATAGTAAAATTTAAACCTTCAGCCTGATCCCATAACTTGGTAAGCGTAGCTAATTTTACTGCAAAATATTGTGGTACCTGTTGCTGGTTATCTTGTCTCACATTGTCGATGAGACGATTGATTGATTTACACACTGCATTTCGTCTGTTGACTAATGCCTGAATAATTTCATTCTCTTGACCACCAGTAGGTAATACTATTTCAGGAGCTTCAACATCATTATTTATCTGAAGGTCCAACCCCTTTATTGTTGATGGTTGAGCCTTAATGGGTAATGCTTCCAGCTCTTGAGTTATTCTGGTGATATATTTGTTACCCAAATTTATGATTACCATGCCGTAATCTTGTGTGAAATATTCCGATGTTCTTGCTAGTACATCGGCTTGTTGTAGTTGCTCATCATTAGCCTTGAAGTCAGCTAATAACTGTTCTAAAGTTGTTTTACGATCTTCGAGATATTGACGTGTTTTCCTGCTGGGTGAGTCCTTCTTGAAGTTGCGAATGATTCTGTCGATCTCTGAACCAATTGAATCCTGCTGGTCAGTTAAAGTGGATATTGATTTTGGATCCATGGTTATTGTATTTCCGTTGAAAAAAGTTGTTTTTAATGAAGGTTTTTTGTAAACGCTGCTGGCTCACACTGAGTTGCTCTTGCCAATCCCGTCGGGGTCACCAATGTATACCACGTAATCTGAGGTGGTGTCAAATACTGTATTTTCTTACTTCGTTACACTGACTATTAGGCACATAAACCAATAATCAGGTATTTATGACGAAAGGCTTGCAGGCACATAAACCGCTAGCCAAGTAAGTAAATAATTTTTATTTATTGCTACAGTGGTTAAAAGGCACATCTACCAATAACCAAATTTTGATTTTGAAGGAAAGACGATTGTTTTCGCTCTCAAGTTTTATTATCAATATTGTTACCTTATATAGTATAGAATTACTTACTAAGCATAATAATATTTACAATTATTGATGACTAAAATAATAATTTAAATTTCACATATTGCTGCATAAGCATAAATACAATATGTAAAGCTATTGAACTTATAAACATAAACAATGTATTTAATATTTACAATATTTATTTGCTGCATAAGTGTAACTACAAGCGAGCTAAAATATGTTAGGTTTGTTAAACTTAACATTCTGCCCGGCTTGAATTACGTTATTCAAGAATGAATCTATGAGCAATGATTGATTTGATTTGCCATGCGTTATGTGTTTTTTTTTTTTTTTTAAAATCAACAGACAAAATTTTAAAATAATTACAACATTTTGTGGATATATTAATACACATATAATTTTTAAACAATAAATAGTTATACAATATTATATAAACTTAAAAATATAAAATTTAGAGTTTATAGCATCATGAGAATTTGAGAAGCTATGTAATTGTTTCAGGCTCCAATGTAAATCTTGTTCGTGGCATCGCGTTTGGTGTGAGAGTTTGTGTTGGCTGATTGACTTCTGGACGCTTTACTTGCTTTATTTTCCATATCATCCATATGATGGCTCCAACGACAAGAATTAGGGTTGTGGAATTAATTGCGTAGTGGTGCATGCTGTCCGTCTGTAGTTTGTGTGGTAATTCAGCGAATTTTTCATCTTTCAGAGTATTGTGAAGTAGCTTTAACTGTTTAAGTTCATTGCTGAGATTCAATGAACTTCCTTTAAAATTTGACCATAATTCTGAGTTATTAATGACAGGTATCTCACCAAATGCAATGTAAGATTCATACATGGTGTCGGTAAGCGTTTGATGTGTCTGAATTGTAGACGTTTGGTGTTTTAGTACACAGTCGTCTTGTAATTTCAGGAGTGTTGCACCTTGTAGTTCTAAATGAGTCGTGATGCCCTTACAGACGGCCGTAACTGTTGTATTGTTTTTTGACCCGAATATCCATTGGTTCGCATGATACAGGGGACTCCAAATAATGTTCGATTTTGTTTCC